TTATATATTTTATTGTTAAGAGAAATCAAGATGTAGATCCATGTAGAACTAAAGAGTTGTAAGGAAATTTGATACCCATGAAGGGCAAGAAAGGGCATTCCATCATCTAACAGACATACATGTAACATGTGCCTACATATTATCTCATATTTAAACAAAAATGACAACACTATGAGCTTTCTTGGAACCAATGTGACAACATCATCAGCCCAACAAAACAATACTCATACATCAACCCATCTTCTAATTATTTCTCTTTTAGAAATGGAAGTTTGGCCAAAAAATAAAAAAAATAATGTGTGACATAAAGTCTAATTTAATGCAGTTGGATCCGTAGGATTTCATTATAAATTTTATTTTAATAATATGAGTTATTTAAAAAAAAAATTAAAAGATATTGATTAATAAATTCCATATTTTAGACTTGTGATTTATATAGTCTCGTATTTTTATTTTTTTTGTAATTCATTTAATCCATTTAGATATATAATGACTCATTTGCCTGCCATATTAGATTGTTACATTTTGAAAAAATACACTAAGGAATTTTTTAGTGTCACATTATATCCGCCATGTTGAAGTGTCATATGTTACAATTGGAAAAAGTACAATAAAAAATTTTTTTTTAGTGCTACATCATACCCGCCACATTAGAATATCACATGTTACATTTAAAAAAACATACACTAAGGAGTGTTTTTTTTTTTTAGTCACATATTATATTTAAAAAAAGTATTTTAAGGAATTTTTTAATTTTTTTAGAGTGTCACATTACAATTACCATGTTGAAGTATCACATTTGAAAAAAAATTTAGAAAAATTATACTAAGGAATTTTTTTTTTTAGTGTCACATCATATCTATCATATTAATACATACCACGTTAAAATGTCACATCATACTTGTCATATTAATAAAAAGGGATAGCAGTCCATCGAAACATTACACGGAAATAAACTCTCCACTAATAGGACTTAACAGATCAATAGAAAAAATTTAAGACTAATTGAAATACTTGTTTGTGAGATGAGCTGTATTAAAAAATATCCTGTAAATTAAATGGTTTTTTAATTGTAGTCAAATATTTTTTTTATCAAATTTCTTTTAATAAAAATGAACAAGTACGATTTTGAAATGGATGGTTTATTTTTAATTTTTATTTTCTACAAATTTAATAAAATTATGTGCTTACAATTATCACATTAATCTGATTACTTTTGGAACAAAGTCAACTCTTAAAAATGAACAGTGGTATTATATGTACTAATTAGTATACTAACTAATGTATTAACACTAGTTATAATATTATTATTGACCCTACTCATTAATTACATTACAAATATTAAAAAAATTTTAAATTATATCACATCATCAATTAGTACACTAATTAATATACTAATTAACACATATAACATTATTCAAAAACGAAAGAAAAAGTCACCATACGTGCACATATTGATTGCTAATATACAATTTCCAATTCCCAAAAATGAAAGAAAGGGTCACCATACATATTAGCACATATTGATTGCTAACATACAATTTTTATAAAGTTTATACGATGGTATGAAGTTCAAACATGTAAAATGAATGCATAGCACCGATTGGTTGGTAGCAGATCATATATATATATATATTATATTCATTGCAAGAGTTAAATACAAATAGATTCCTTAGGTGAGCAGACTATATGCCTAGAAAATTATATTTAAAGGTTAATCTCTATATTTTTTTTTCATTGGACCGTTTAAAAATTTCATTCATTTTCTTATTTTAAAGATTTTTATTTTAAAATTTCTAAAAATAAAAAAAGAAGTTGAAAAAAATTTACTAAAGCAAAAAAATAGTAATAATAATAATTGAAAAGCAAATTTAAAGTGGACCTTTTCAATTTTTTTGAAGCCCCTCATATTTTTTAAAATTTTAAAATTGAAAGAATTTTTTTTTCTAAATAATTGATATATTTTTTTTAAGCCATGCCAGCCAAGCCTTACATGGGCTTAATGCATGCAACTATAAATGTTTTTAACAATAATATTATGGTAATTAAATATGAGTATTAAATTCTAGATGTCAATAGGTCACCAAAACATTTTTATTATAAATAAATGAAAAGTGAAACCTATTAAATCAGTACAGATTACATAATATTCAAAATTTGGTATATAAATCTAGAATATGTTAACCAATGCACATAATGTGTCGATTAAAGTTAATCGATCCGTAAAAAATATATTAAAATATATAAAAACAACCTAAAAACTTGAGTCGAGACACAACATAATTATGAGAACCATTTCATTTAAGGTGAGCCAAAAATAGGAGCACAATATATAAATATATATTAAAATTTGATTTTTATTTTTTGGTAATATTTGAAATTTAATTAATGGTAAATGAATGGTGGTTAGTAATATTTTTAAAATTTAATTACATAGCATTAAACTGCATATTAAATTGCCATATGACCCACCTTTGTTTTTTTTAGCAATTGTGATAGAGACCTCCACACATGCATGACTCCTACAATCCCCATTCTCATTCCAACTACTCATAATATGGGGTCCACACATACATGAGTGGACCCCATATACACATCAAGGGTCAAGATCAAATTAGGGGTCATGGAACCCTAAAAAAAAAGAGTCCCAAACATTTCTCTTTTTTTAGATGTGTCACAATGTGATTTGACTTCTAAAATCTTCAAATTAACAATGTTAGAGCATCAGCATCAGAGTCACTGCAACGACTTTGACGCTATTGTAAGAGCCAAACTGTAAATATGTTGATGCATCAGAGTCGTTATAGGCTTCATTCATTTTGACAACGCTATAGTTCCTTCTCTGATAAAGCGAGGAACTGTTCACAGAGTAATTAATTTTTTATTATATTTTATTTCCTGTGCTTCTTTCTCCTGCTAACAAGAACGCTACTATCTCTCATACCACCATTAATGTCAACACTTACCAGAGCCATCACACAAATTTCATTCTCACCATCTTGGAACTGAAGCAAAACTGAACTGGAGCAAAGCTGGGGTCGTCCCCCAGGATGTCCCATAAGAAGAAGAAAAATGCTGAAATTTTGCTTAACCATTGATTACTTGGTCGTCCGGCCGGTCAACTACCCTGGCTCCTATGTTGCTGTTGTTCTGTTATTGCTCTGGTGCTGTCTTAGGTCTTATTTTATACCTGTTTTAACATCATTTTGCACTCAAAAAATATGGTTAAACATAAGAAGCATTTAAGGATTATAATGATTTAATTAAATTTTCCAATTCAATTATAATCCATTTTTCATTACTAAAACAAATAATTAAAAACATAATACATTTATTTGCCACAAAATAATTAAAACATGACACAATAAAAAATAATATTTTAATGAAATAGAATTTTAAAATAGAGAGTTTGATGGAATATGTATATAAAAAAGAGACTAGCTAAAATACAAAAGTGAATTTTGGATTATAATTTAACTCAAAATTTGCTAAGACTGATGTGGATGCTCTTATACAGTGTAACAAATAAGATCATGTCATAGCGGTTTGATTGAAAGAATGCACAAGTTAATCATCATCTTCATCGTTGCACCAATATTGCAATCACCACCACCACAATCAACATTTATATTACACCTCCACCACTATCTTACCATCACCACTGCGGCTACGTTACAATCACGGCTACCAATCATATATAATCATTAATACCATTATTTTTAGGATTACAATAGAGGTGACCCAAATCTTTTGACATGTAAAAGTATTTTTTTTAAAATAATTAGTGATTAATTTTTCAAATAGTAATTTTTTTAATTTAAATTTAGCTTTTTTCCTTTCTTTTTAAAATATAAAATGACTAATTAATATTTTACAATGAATTTTTTCTACTATTTTTTTTTTCAATTGATAATATTTTTAATTACTTACTAATTAAGTTTTTATAATCATTTTGAGAGATTAAAAAAAAATATGTTAAGAGACTACTTCTAGCACATATATGACAATTTTGGGGTCCAAACCAAAAAAAAAAAAAAATCTAGAACATTCTAACACATTATTTATAATATTTTATCATTTTATATAAAACATTATTATGAAAAAAAATTACTGTCACTTTTTTATTTCTAATTACAATTTGAGACTGTAAACCCTCGTAAACACCATTTTTAAACCCAGAGAAATAAATAATTTCTTTTAAACTTTGCCTATTTCAAAATGCCTCTGTTTAGTAGGACAATATATTCATTAAGAAAACTTTGGAGGCCTTCTCAAATGTGAGTGAGGCATTAAACAGTGCCCTAGTGGGCGTTTGATGCTTGTTGGTTTTTTTTTTGATTTTTGATTTTTTATAATTAATGTATTTGAGAAGTTACTAAAAAAAATTATTTTTTATAAATAAAGAAATTGTTATGGCATTTATTTATTTTAATTGATAAGAAGGAGCATAATATTTTTTTGACTTTTATAAACCCCAAAACCAACTTTTTTTCCTGTGTCCCAAACGACCCCTTGCAACTAGTCATGGAAAAAACATTTTTTTTTTATCAAAAAAAAGTTTTGCATAAAAAAAATTTCACTAAACCTTTTTTTTTTATTCTATAAAATGTAATTTCAGTCAATAGAAAGAAAATGAGAGTAAAGTATGGTATGAACATTTTATTTATTTATTTCTATAAATTAAAATATGACTCAAAATAATAAAAAATTAAAATACATACATAAATATTCTAATCTGTTGAAAATTTATGAAAAAATATAATTAATTTTAACATAAGTATATTGACTTATCTTTTAATAAGATCAAAATAAAAAATATTTTAATATAAAAAAGATAACATTATTATTATTTTTAATTCATATTCATATGAATGATAAATTATTAATAAAAAATTAAACTTTTACTATATTTTCTACAAATCTTATTTACCATATAAATAAATAAATATAGACATAATAACATATATATGTCTAAATGGTAATGTAACAGTAGCTCTCTTGGTTTTAACCGTGTGTGCCAGGGGTGTCTGCTCTCAAAGCCTCAAAATTCTCTTTTCTCTCCTTCTCTCTCTCTCTACATATACCAAAATCTCTGATTCATTTCTCTTTCTCTCTCTCTCTTCCGTCTCTGTATTCTCTTCTCTCTCTTTCTCTAAATTCTGGATTTTTCTTCGATTGTTGGAAAAATCCAATTCATCGCAAGGTCTCAGTAGATAAAAAATCGGTCATGGGAATATATCAATCTGAATCGATCCGAGAAAGCCCACTTTTTCGATCTATAGAGCGTTGAATCGATTGATGTATATTGGATATATATGAAATCTGTATAACTGATCGGTTTTTGATCTGTGTATCGAACGGTGGAATTCATAGGCGGGAGGGTTAATGGAATAATTGATGAATGAATCGATGTGAGTTTTGAAGATGCCGGGATTAGCGCAGAGAAATGATAATCAATTCAGTAATGGTATGTCGTCGTTGTACTCGTTATCTTGTTCGAATGGATCGGTTTCTACCCATGGATTCTGGTCAAAGCATCGCGGCGATGTTAGCTACAATCAGCTCCAGAAGGTACTGGATTTATCTGTATGCATGTATGTGGTTGGGTCTGTCCATGTTTATTACTGTTAATTGCTTGTGCAGATTGGAATTGCAGTAGATCATTCTGTTGTATTGGTTTTTTGGTGAATTTTCATTGAATTGGTTTTGAGTTCAATTTGGATCTTATAGTATATATAATCCAGTTAGATGTTCCTTTTTCAGGATTTTAGTTTGTGATGTGGTCTGATTGTTAGCTGGTATCGTTGTTCTGATTGGATTTTGAGTGTGTCATTAATCAGATCCAGTTTTGCATTTTTGTATCGGCATTTTTTCTCCTTTGTAGTATATGCAAATGTGAGGCTTACCATATGGGGATGACTTACAATCTTAAATACAAAATCTTAACTGGATTTGAACAGTTAATTAGGGATGGCTGACCACGTTGCATTTCGCTATGATTTTCTGAAGCAAAAAGATGTGTTTTATAACACTTGTGCTGCGAAGAAAACGCCATCTTAACTTAAATGTGGAATTGCAACATGTGAGGTTTTATATGAGAGTGAACTTTGCTTGTGTTTTTGCAGCTATTGTGCCGCATTAAAGACTATAAACGGAAAGGGTTACATGTTTTTAATTGTGTAGTCACTTTTTCTCTATTAATAATCCAATGAAATCTACTTTTCTCTCTGTAATTTAAGGCACCCAATAACGATAAAACAGCAAAAGCATTCAGTTATTGCCGTCATTTTGTATGTGGGTTGGGAGTGAATGCGTTGTGTTTTTCGTAGTCTCTTAATTTAGCCTGTAACGTGGTGCTATTCATTGACAATGTGCTATCGACTTGTCATGTAGTTCTGGAGTGACCTGTCAATACAAGCACGGCAGGAGCTCCTGAGGATTGACAAACAAACCCTCTTTGAGCAAGCTCGTAAGAATATGTACTGCTCTAGATGCAATGGGTTACTGCTAGAAGGTTTTTTGCAGATTGTCATGTATGGAAAGTCTTTGCAGCAGGAGGGATCAGGTGGGCACCTTCTTTTTAGCAGGCAAGGAGCCTTGAAAAATCAAAATGATGGTGATTTAGGTATGACTACGGTGTGTCAAGATGAAGTTCAAGATCCATCAGTTCACCCATGGGGAGGTTTGATCACAACTAGAGATGGGATACTGACCCTTTTGGACTGCTATCTGTATTCAAAGTCTCTAAAGGGACTCCAAGATGTACGTTGCACCCCTCACATTGCAGTTTCATGATTAGTTTTTATTTATTTTTTTAATTATTTATTTTGTCAAAGCTCACTATCCATTTGAATCAGGTCTTTGATAGTGCGCGTGCAAGGGAACGGGAGCGAGAATTGCTTTATCCTGATGCTTGTGGTGGAGGAGGTCGAGGTTGGATCAGTCAAGGAATGGTGGGTTATGGCAGGGGACATGGAACAAGGGAAACATGTGCTCTGCACACTGCCAGACTTTCTGTTGATACATTGGTGGATTTTTGGTCAGCACTTGGAGAAGAAACTCGGCAATCTCTTCTAAGGATGAAGGAAGAGGATTTTATAGAAAGGCTCATGTACAGGTGTGTGTTTGGCTATCTTCTTATTCTTCCTGTTTATTCCTGTCTATTTAACATTTACTTTCAAGTTAGTGAAGTTAGTGGGAGAAGTAAAAATACGTATATGGTTATGGGAGGTGCCAGGCCTTAGAGCATTAACGAACAAGATAACATATGCTTAATTCAGAACATTGATGCTTTAAATAATCCTCCATTTTTTTGTTATTCGAAGAACAACATGCAAATCAATTGAGAAGGATACTATTGATGGAAATTGGAACACCTTAAAACAAAAAGCATAGTTAAAAAAATAGCTTGGAAGTGGATGATGGTGTGTTGGATTGGACTAAGAGAATGGTGCTGTTCAGCCTGTTCCGATTAACTTTAGTCAAATGGTATGACTATATTCAGTAGAAAGAAGGAAAAAGGTTGTTTGCAGCACCTTTGTTGTCAAGATCTACCAATTTTCATAAGAACTGATGGATTTTTACTTGGGAATTTTTTGAGATAAACCAACGTATAGTACTTATGTCTTGGGGGATATCCTACGGGCTATTTGTGTGGGCAATTTATCTTCAAAATTCATATCTACAAAGATTGCATCCAGCTAGAGTTTTGCTAATATGTTGGTGCAGTTGCTACGAAGCACTGAAATGTTCACATTGCTCTTGGAATGTTCAGGTCCAATGACAAGCTATTATAACCTTTGCTTTACAAAGTTAGAAGTTTCTACAGTTTAACTGTGACGAAGCAGATACAATTGAGCTTATGGAGTTACTGCTCATGACACCTCTCAAGGGATAGTTTCACTTGAGGATGGTCACATATCAAAGTTGAAATGAAGTGTTACGCCATGGAGACTTCTTGGCTCCTGAGAAAGACAGAGTACTCCCCATTTTTGTCTATGATTGACTGTTTCTCCATCTGAATGTTTTGCGTGGAGTGCCAGAGTGGAATTGGTGCTGTAAAACATGGAAATACATTGTACTGTTGTATGTGATTCCTGAGTAGTCAGTTCAACCACTGGGGTTAAAGAAGCTTGGTCCTGCAAAAGTTCCTTTTCAGCTGCACATTTGAAAGTTAGAAATAGCCGATGATTTGAATCAATCTGTTGATGGTATTGTATAGACAATGTATAGACAAGAGTGAAGAAGGTCTATAGAGATGACTATTCATTTGCAAAAAAAAAAACTGGCTGATCCTTCTTACGCTGTCAAGACTGTTAAAAGAAAAATGAGTATTATCCCTTGGTCATTTTTGTAGTGTTGGCAATTTCATTCCTTTGAATTTGTACTTTTTATTTTTAGCTTTGTGCAGTCCATGAGCATCATCAGTAGTAGAAAATTCAGCATGAGGACCCTAAGCAAAATACCTCTAACCTACATAACAATATTTCTAAAATCAAATAAGACCTATACCTAAATCCAATTACATTAACTTGAACCATGGATGCTCCCTACAGCCTATGCTCGGAAATTTTGCAAATTACCAAAATACCTCTAGTCTACAAAACAGTAGAAATGTGTAGGAAACATACCAGATTATATCTAACCTAAATGATCATAACATAAGACTCTACTAACACTAGAAACATGAATGTGCATAGTTTCTATAGATCCTGCCTTGACATCATGCCAATGTCCAAACATTAACATTATCCACACAGAATCAGTAGAGAGCTATGAACTTCTTTTGTACAATATAGTGTGAATCCTTAGGGTGCTGTTAGAATTTTAATCTACAAACTTTATAACAAACTATAGAACTTTACGCACACAAAATAATTAGAGAGCTATGAACTTCTTTTGTACTATACAAGGTGAATTCTTAGGGTCCTAACCGTGCTGTTAGATGACATAATCTTTTTGTAGGTACATCTGTCATCTCCAAGTCATCTCTGTATAGGTTAGTTATTAGCCTTGTGATACCTCTTGAGGCAACACGTGGGCCAATGGTGAATCTCCAAACCGTCCTTGTTTATCTCTAAATAGGACAAATTCATAAGTCGATCTCCTGTCACCAATCTCCCATCACCAATTCTCCCCTCTTCTGCCTCTGATGGTCTCTAGCCAACTGTGCCTACCATCTTCCGGTATTACAACTACCTCTCCACTCCATCCACATTATTTTCTTAGAATAATTTAAGGAAAGCTCCACTCCATCCACATTATTTTCTTAGAATAATTCATTTAAGGAAAGCTGATGTAAACAACTTCTTAGCAAATCCCTCTTTCATTTAGCCCGACTCAAGATTTTTTTTGGGTTCCATTTCTCATTGTTGGTTCTGTAAATTTGGGGTACTGGGGTGCAGACCTAATCTCTGGCTTTATGTGCTGATATTAATTTAAGAAAAAGTTATTATATTTGGCTGTAATGGTCAATTACTGTGTAGTCTGCTATGAGATTATTTTTATACTCATATGTATGAATGAATCTCATTTTCAAAATAAACCCAATTTGTCTGCAATTAGACTGCTCAGCTTTCTACTCCAAGTCCTCTTCTTTTAATCTGTTTCGAAATTACACTTACTCATGAAAGGCCAAACAGCTTCATAGTTAGTTAAAAAGAAAAGAAAAAGCTGTTAGGGAATATTAGAAAATAACTTTGAGACTAATGTTAGGGAATATTGGAAAATGGAGGTCAGAGATGAATGCATTGAGAAAAAAATTATATTAGCATCCAAAAGGAAGGCTGATAATTTGACAGAGAGTGAAACGCTTGCTAGGACCCTGGATATGATATTGTTGAGGCAAAGTAACTGTAAAGGAGTAGAGCTCTTTAAAATGGAAAGATGAAAGCTCAAAAGGACACAAACACATAGGATGTGGTGTAGTTCCAGAGTAGTGGATGCCATTCTAATTATACATTCAATAACGTGCACCGATGCTACAATTGAACCTTCAATATTCATGTGGCTTCCGTTCTTTTAAAATAAGAAAAGAGAAAGAAAGGGAAAAAAAAAAGTATTACTTATTATGGACGTCCTAGTTACACTGCTCTGTTTGTTCTCCAAGAATGTGGCAGTCATCAAAGTAACGCTGATTTCTGCCATGATTTATATAGATGCAAGATACTTAAGTTTGATAAGGAATTTGTGAATTGTCCTCTTCATCATTGTCATTGATCTACAACTCAGGAGTTTTGGATCTTTCCTTTTTCTATGTTGAGAATCTCATCAGTCATGCCGATCAACATTGACTTGCTGTCAAAGTAATAGCTTAAGAATGGTAGAAGTAGTTCCAAAATTACATAAAAAGTAACTTGAATATACCTGCTTTAGAGTGCGAAAAGCATATTTTTTCGAAATGAATGGATATCCATTATTCATTTTAAAGCTCAATGATGTTGTGCTGCATTTTTTCTTTGGTCCTCTTTATGTTCTGAACAGTTAGGCTTTCCCTTCTTAGACTTTTTGGTCAATTGTAGCTTCACTAGTGACTTAAACTGCCAATATAGCCTCCTTATTTACTGACCTTTTTACTTTGATAATCCTGGACAAAATTAATTTGGTCAGAAATAGACTGTTGATGGTTTGTGGCTGTTATGCTGGAAAATGGAAACCAGTTGAGCTTTCAAGTTCTTAATGTACTTACACTCAAAGGAGTATTTAATTAGGATACAATAACCCTATGCATTGTAGTTTCCCTTTACAAAGTTGTTCCTATGTTTTTACATTTGGGAGTGGCCACTGGGGCAGTTACCTACCTACCTTGGGTTTGTTTCATATGCCCTTGAACATTCCTGTATCTTTTCCATGTTCTTTTGGTGCTTATGATTGGAAAATTTCCTTTCAGTTTGACAAGGATCTCATAATGGATTGTTCTCTCCTGAAAAATTTAATGCTTATGTTGCAGGTTTGATAGCAAGAGGTTTTGCCGAGATTGCAGAAGAAATGTTATCCGGGAATTCAAGGAACTAAAGGAGCTAAAGCGCATGCGGAGGGAACCTTGCTGCACCAATTGGTTTTGTGTAGCAGATACAGCCTTCCAATATGAGGTGTGTTTCAACTATTTCTGATAAAAATATTTAAGCAATGTACATACCAAGAATATATGTTGATTTAAACGTCCTTCTTATGCTCTGTGTAATAGAGTAAACCACAACTATTAACACTGGTAGCTTTGATGAGTCAGTCAAATGTCAAGGACCTTTGTCTCATAAGTCTTTTAAGATGTCACGATTTGATGCAATATTAGTTTTTTTGAATTTCTCAGGTGTCTCATGACACAGTCCAAGCTGACTGGCATCAAACCTTCATGGATAATTTTGGAACATACCATCACTTTGAATGGGCTTTTGGAACTGGAGAAGGAAAATCTGACATTCTGGAGTTTGAAAATGTTGGCTTGAGTGGAACAGTTCGAGTGGATGGTCTAGATCTTGGTGGCTTGAATTCGTGCTACATTACCGTAAGAGCTTGGAAATTGGATGGCCGCTGTACTGAACTTTCTGTGAAAGCTCATGCATTGAAGGGTCAACAATGTGTACATTGCAGGCTTGTAGTTGGTGATGGTTTTGTTACGATTACCACAGGGGAAAGTATCAGAAGGTTCTTTGAACATGCTGAAGAGGCCGAGGAAGAAGAGGTAATTAAGTTCTGCAAGGCTTACTGTCTTTTTCTTGTGCGTTAAAAAGTCATTGATAAGATCAAGTATGTGGGTGATAGTTTGTCTTAATCCTTTTTTTCCTCCTTTTTTTTCACTATGCCGTATTAACTTTCAGGATGATGATTCCATGGACAAGGACGGAAATGAGCTTGATGGAGAATGCTCCCGACCCCAAAAACATGCGAAGAGTCCTGAACTTGCTCGAGAATTTCTTCTAGATGCTGCGACTGTTATTTTCAAGGAACAGGCATGTTCAATCTCTTAACAATTGTGATATTTTTTTTCCCTACTATGCAACAAGAGGCAGAGGGAGGGAGAGAGAGATGCAACAAAGCATAGTTGGAGATGAAATGAGTTTGTTTTTTGACTAGTTAGTTTTCCTAAATTATAGCAATATTTGAATGTCCATTTCCCTAGTCTTTTTCTCTTAGTCTATTTTAATATTATATATTTGAACCACCTAAAATTAGTATTTAGGTAACAGACATAAAATTCACAATAAGATGGCCTTAGGATTGAAGATCCTACCTATGAGTGATTTTTTACATGATTCAGATCAATTTTGGCTAAATGGATCGTAAGATCCGGATTAGGATTTTGATAATTATGCAGTGGTGGTAAGGGTGATAGGGGTCTGGTGGTGGTGGTGGAAGATGGTGATGCCAGTAGGGTAGTGGTGGTGACTAGCGGTGATAGTAGGGTGGTGGCGGCAACAATGGTGGTGGTGGTGATAGTGGCCAACAAAAGGGAGGCCAATAGACACTGGGTGATTGCATCTAGAATGGAATGCCTGTTTCTTAGCTTGAAAGAAGAAATAGATATTCCCTCTTTATTGGAATAATCATTTCATTGGAGATTACATAAGTCGTACCAAACAAAAGAAAGGGAATACAAAGTGGGAGTGGTATTCCATTCCAACCCATTTTAGTGTACCAAATGAAGGTGTAAACATTTGTTGGGATTTGACTGTGCTGCATGCATACTTGAATAATGATGTTATGCTTCGGTATGCTATACTTAATAGCCAGAATTGCCTTGGTAAGTTTTTGTAAGGTGACAGCACTTCTCATGTGTTTAAAAATAGACGACTGGAGACGTTGGATCCATGTAACATACCCCAAATACTAAGGCATTGAGGCTTTGTTGTGTTGAGATGAGTTGAGTTGACTGTTCTGATCAGATTTTCGAACCAATTATTATTGTTAACCTTTTCCGTATGCTATAATTAACATGCAGAATTACTTCAAGGCTTTTGCCATGTATTGAAGGAAATCATAAGTAAACTTGGAAGAGTGCCAGTTAATTTGAATATTTTATTCATGGATATATTGTCGAACAACTATCACGACGGTAAGCTAAGGTTGGAGCCAGCAGCCTTTATGAACTGCATATAAGAAAAGTAAAGGAGAAAAAATTCCAGACTAAAGAATCATGCGTATCAATTAGGGTCATGTAACTTTTCTTTGCGGTCCCTTCTTTTAATCTTATAAGTTATAACAAATCGAATGTTGGTCAATTAAATGTTTTAATGATTTGGTTATGATACAAAGCCTCGTTAAAGAAGAGAACCTGCTTCCCTGTTGTAGTTTTTTTCGTTTGTGTGGCATTTGTGCATGCCCGCATTTATGTAACTTAGGAGATAACTAATGTGGGGTGAATTCTTTCCAGGTTGAAAAGGCTTTCAGAGAAGGAACTGCACGACAAAATGCTCACAGCATTTTTGTTTGTCTTGCACTAAAACTGCTGGAAGAACGTGTTCATGTCGCATGCAAAGAAATTATTACATTAGAAAAGCAGGTAATAATTGTTGCCAAATTTTAGGATAACATTTCAATTCCAGCATGAGGAAGGAGAGATGCAATTTTTTGAGGGACAAATCTGACTCGTAATTCGGTTTTTATTTCTGCAGATGAAACTTCTTGAAGAAGAAGAAAAGGAAAAACGTGAAGAAGAAGAACGCAAGGAGCGAAGAAGAATGAAAGAAAGAGAGAAGAAGCTCCGAAGGAAGGAGAGATTGAGGGGCAAGGAGAAGGACAGGGAGAAGAAATCTTCTGAATCAAACCGAAGTCTTGATGTTTCTGATCTTCCAAGGGAGGAAGTGTCAGAGAGTCTTGATGAGCAACCAAATGTCTTCAACGAGGAATTGATCTGTGAAACAGGCGATATTCCATCCAGACCTCAATCCCCGGATGCTCAAGATGAGAAGCTACTGAATGGGTCTTTCATTTCAAACATGGAAAACCACTTTGATGATGGTCCTGATGGGGAACTTTCCAGTGTGAAAGATGGGAATAGTTCATTTGCAACTGATCACTCAAAAGTATCTCATCAAAAACTGAAATTTAGGAAAGAATTTCAACTGGATCCAACAGTGAAATGGTCTGACAGACGACAATTTGCAGTTGTTTCAGAAAGCGGGGGTGTGGCTAGTAAACCTGACCTTAGACATCATGGTGATAAACAGTTAAGAAGTAATTCCATTAAGTTGAACATTAGAAATGGTGGCCCCAAGTTTGGTGAGAGGTTTCATTGTGCCAGCAGCCGGATGAGCAATAGATATGACTTCCATTCTTGCAGCTGTAACCAGCACAATGATTATAGAGCAAAGGTGGAGACACATGCTTCTATGACTAGGGTAGGTCGGGAGACCAAATCTGCGAGTAAGTCAGAATCTGTGTCAGATATATCCAAGCCATATTATCGTGGTAACAAGTATAATCAAATGGACTATATCCGCGAAAATTGTGGGAGACCCAAAAGCAAGATTATCACAGGGAACAATCATTTTACTAGAGATTCCCATAATGCAAAGCAGGTTTGGGAGCCCATGGATTCTCAGAGGAACTATCCCCGGAGCAACTCAGACACTGATGTTACATTCCAGTCATCTACTTTCAAAGTCGAAGGTAGTGAATCTGACAATATCAAGTCATCTGGTGCCATTTGTTCTGATAAAGTTACTGAAAAATTGGATGAGAGCAATCATAAGGGGAATAATTTAAAGGAACCAACAAACTCTAGCTCTGGAATGGACAGAAACTGCCAGAACGGATTTGATGTGGAAGCAAAGGCTCATCACTATTCAAAGGAAGCATTGGATGAGGACATCGAACCGTGTCCTGTTACAACCTCTCCCTTAAGTGGAACCAGTGATCCATCTATGAGCTGCACTTCCAATTCTGACAACCGTTCATCATGCCTTAGTGAGGGAGACTGCAATACGACCTCTTCAAACTCCCCAAATCCGGAATCCTTGTCCTCATCAGATTCAGAAGATGCCAGCCAACATTCTGAAGGAAGGACAACTTCAGTACGCATTCAAAACAACTTTGTTGAATGTCATGAGACTGGAGTCGAGAAAAAACAGATTGCAGAGGAAGGGGAAGCTTTTAGAAGCAGGGCATCATCTGGGTATTCACCAGACAACGCAAAAAGTAACTTTTCCGTAAATTTACCAACGAAAGCAACTCATAATTTTGAGAATGGAAGAACGAATGCCAGTGTCGGTTCTCAACATGAAAGCATGCCTCCACCAATGAATAGTCAGAGCATACCATTTCCAATGTTTCAAGCTCCTTCAACAATGGGTTACTACCATCAGAGTCCAGTTTCCTGGCCAGCAGCTCCTGCTAATGGATTGATGCCTTTCCCTCATCCCAACCACTATGTGTTTGCTAGCCCTTTTGGATATGGTTTAAACGGAAATTCGCGCTTCATGCAGTATGGTGCTGTACAGCATATTTCTCCTCCCTTGCTTAACCCAGGTCAGGTGCCCATTTACCAGCCTGTTGTCAAGACCAATGGCATGAACTCAAAAGATCAAACCAAGATTTCTAACCCAGGTATGGTGCAAGAATCATTTAATGAACCTAAAATGCTGAGGGCTGTTTCAGCAGGGCAGCGTACAATGGAAGAACCCTCCAAGTGGAGATGGAAGGCCAAATGGGAACTCCGACAAACCACACAACGGAAATTCAGTCTTTTCCCTCTTCCATTATGGTGGTCCTGTGGCTCCTTCGAATGGATATGAACTGAATTCTGTGCCTCCTAAAGATGACGTCATTGGGGATCTTTCTTCAGATATATCAGCAGACCATGTTGGGGATGATCATGCTTGCAATGAGAAAGATACCATCGAAGAATACAACTTGTTTGCAGCAAGTAACGGTATAAGATTTTCCATCTTCTGATATGGTAATCGACAAGGTGTGTGGTTTCTGTTTGAGATTTCAGTCCCTATCCTATTTCTTATTATGGGAAGTTTGAGTAATTCGGAACACAATAATCTTCCTCTGGGGGAATTTTCAGCATATTTTATGTCCTAGTGATTGTTTTTTTTTTTTTTTTTTTTTTAAATTCAATTTCTCTCATTGTTTTTCCTAATGTAGAGAAAGAAAAAGGTTGAGAGAGTGTCATAAAGTTTAAATTTTAAAGGTTTTTTTTTCCATATGAGATCAGTCTTTTATTTTATTTTATTTTATTTAATGGAGCATTTGTTAGCATGATATATCTGCGTCTCACTAGCACCCTGCAGCAGAAAGCATTTTTAGAGTTTCATCCAATCTAAATCAAATTGCTCAATCTTATCCTGAATGATTTCATTTATTTGCAGACACATTGGAACAATTTTAAACCATGGTATATTTGTTAATGTTCAATATTAGATTGTTGTGTTTATCATCATTCACTTGAAATGGTTTACTTTTGCACTTGTTTCATGCATATTATATTGGAGAGTGATATCTGAAAGTTGCCCTTATTTGAACTTGGAGGCCCTTCGTCTTTAAATTTTATTCCAAAGAACTGTTTTTGCAATTTTGGCCAAAGAATGTTTTTCCAGTTTCACAACTATGTTCGCTTGAAATCTCGAGGAAAACAGGTGGAGGATGCCATGAGAAATCCACTTCGGAAGTTATGTTGGAGACTACAATTTGGGGGAATGAAATAAGACTTGAACTATTGATCTTTTAGCGAGATGTGTGAGTTTAGGCCAACCGAACTAATCTATTTGGTAATATTTATCTGTACGGGTATGTATGTATCATCTTTGCTTCAATTTCAATCTTGAACTTTTTGGGAGTTTAGGAAAAATTTTAAATTGACATTCTTTATACACATTAATACACAAAAAAAAAAAAAAAAAAAAAGTTTGCAACTAAATGGGTATATATCTATAAAAAAATATAATTATTTGCTAGTATTTGCATATTATTTGTTTGTATATGTAGTTACTTAAATTATAATATTAAAAGTTTCTTACATAAATTAAGAAAAGAAATTATTACGAAAACTTGAAAAAATAAAATTTATAGTTTAGCAAAATTTAATTTACAACAAGAAAAAATCACCAAACAAAATCTATAAAAAGGTAAATTACGAAAAATTATTCAATACTTCTGAAACATCATGTGTTCGTATTCTTTTACTAATCATCATAAATTATGTCCTTTTATATTCCTTAATCGCCTGATACAAAATCATAGGCCTTACTTTCTCTATTAATTACAACATCTTGGAACATCATGTAGTCATGTTCCATGAACACCCAATAACCACTTGTAAATTACACTAACCTTTTGAGATTTGGAAAATTGGCAAAATCACATTGAGTTCCCTTATGTTGTGTTTGGTTGAGGGATTTGCGGAGGGATTTGGAAAGAGAAAGAGAAAAGGTGTGTGAAACTAGGTGAAATATAGGCATATTTTATTCACATTTCACTTATTTTTTCCATTTTCCTTTCCAAATCCCCCCCCAAATCCCCCATTAAGGTTTAAAGTTGTCATATATTTTATAATGAAATGTATATTTTACTTTCTTTGTATAGTTTGCATAATTTGCATTGGTTTTGACTATTTTAGACTAAAAAGTCAGGGTAATTATGCCATACTTATGAGGTTTATTATAATTTTTTGAACTCTCAAGAAATGTAATATATTCAATTTAAAAATAAAATAAAATTGAATAAGCTACAAGAAGGTATCACTTAAATATTTTTATTTATTTTATTATTATTAATTTTACATTTTTTATTTCAAAATTTCTAATTAAGCATGCGTAATGATGCCTTTCAACCTTATCATTTTTAATGACCAACACAACTAATCCATTCAATCTTAATTTTTGTCAAAATATCAATAAATATATCTTTGCATACGCCATCACAACATAATTAGAGAAACAAAAATGTTTGAGACCCCCTTTCCCTCCACCCCCTTTGACCCCCTTTTCCTCTCATTGGCCAGTTTTTCTTTTCTATTTTTCTTCTTTTCCTTTTTCTCCAATCACCAACCGCCACGTGTGTGTGGGGGGTGGTGGGGGTAGTGATTGGAGGGGGTCTCTATCAATGCTCTTAGAGAAATTATTTTTAACATATAATTTATTTCATTATCTATCTTCTATACTTATTACTATTATTAAGTGTAAAGTCTAAATTGATTTAGTAAGACCTTTTTTTTCTCATGTCACGTGGCAACTTTATATATGTTAAAATAAAAAAAAAATTATTATACACAATGTAAGTAAATTTTGAACTTAAAATTTTAGATTTTATCAAAAACATACTTATCACTTAAGTAACATAAAGGGAGTTTTTTTTTTTTTTTTTCCATAAATCCCTCTTTAATTACTTATGTTCCATCTAATCCATATTCTTTTTTACTATTCCATTAGGTCATATTTGAGATAAGAAGACCAAAATACCCTTTTCATTTACTTATGTTCTATTTAGTTCATATTATTTTCTTATGTTTCAATAAGTCTTATAGGTGACATAATTACCAAAATACCCTTAATGTGAATGTTCACACCGTCAATGTGAATGTTCATATCGTCAATGTGTAGGGGCCCGGCCCATGTACAATATAAATATTCACATTGACATGTTAACATTCACATTGATAGGAGTGTAAAATTAACCTGCGGCCTGTGGGCGGCCCGGGGCGAGCCCGTGACAATGTGAATATTCACATGGACATATTAACATTCACATTGATAGGACTGTAAAATTGACCCACGGCCTGTGGACGGCCCGAAGCCCGCCCGTTGCAGGGGCGGGCCCGGCCCGTTGATAATATGAATATTCACATTGACATGCTAACATTTACATTGATAAGAGTGTAAAATTGACTCACGTCCCATGGGTAGCCCGAAGCCCGTGGGCGGCCCGGGGCAAGCCCGGGCCGGCCCGTGACAATGTGAATATTCACATTGACATATTAACATTCACATTGATAGGACTGTAAAATTGACTCACGGCCTGTGGACGGCCCGAAGCCCGCCCGTTGCAGGGGCGGGCCCGGCCCGTTGATAATATGAATATTCACATTGACATGCTAACATTTACATTGATAAGAGTGTAAAATTGACTCACGTCCCATGGGTAGCCCGAAGCCCGTGGGCGGCCCGGGGCGAGCCCGGGCCGGCCCGTGACAATGTGAATATTCACATTGACATATTAATATTCACATTGATAGGAGTGTAAAATTGACCCGCAGCCCGTGGGCTGCCCGAAGCCCGCCCGCTGCCCTGGGCAGGCCCGGCCCAGCCCGTGACAATGTGAATATTCACATTGACATATTAACATTCACTATAGGAGTGTAAAATTGACCCACAGCCTAAAAACGACAGCCTCGGGCCGGGCTGGTGGGCCTAGGCCGAGCTTGGGCAGGCCTGACCATTTTTTTTAATTTTTTTAAATTTTTTCTACCAAAATTTTATTATTTTCCACAAAAAAAGACATTGTGCCTCAAGCGGGCTGGGTTTCGGACCGAGCCTTGAATGAGCCTTAAGCGGGCCGATGGGCCGGGCCGGGTTTCAAAGTGATGGCCTAGGCCCTAGCCTAGGGTCTCGGGCATGCTCGGGCCCGGACCCAAATGAGCCTGCCCTGGGCCATGGGCGGGCTTTGAGCAGTCCACGGACGGCGGGCCAATTCTACATTCCTATCAATGTGTATGTTAACATGTCAATGTGAATATTCACATTGTCAACGAGCCGGGCCTACCCCGGGCAGCGGGCAAGCTTCAGGCAGCGGGCAAATTTTACACTCCTATCAATGTTAATGTTAACATGTCAATGTGAATATTCACATTGTCACGGGTCGGGCCAAGCCCGCCTCGGGCTGCAGTCAGGTTTCGGGCCGCCCACGGGCTACGGGCCAATTTTACACTCTTATCAATGTGAATGTTAACATGTCAATGCGAATATTCACATTGTCAATGGGCCGGACCGGGCCCGCCCTAGGCTGCGGGCGGGCTTTTGGCTACCCATGGGCCGCGGGCCAATTTTATACTCTTATCAATGTGAATGTTAACATGTCAATGTGAATATTCACATTATCAACAGGCCGGGCCGGGCCTGTCCCAGGCTGCCCACTAGCTGTGGGCTGGTTTCGGGCAGCCACGGGACACGGGCCAATTTTATACTCTTATCAATGTGAATGTTAATATGTCAATGTGAATATTCACATTGTCAACAGGCCGGGCCTGGTCCGCCCCGGGCTGCCTACGGGCCGTGGGCGGGTTTTGGGCAGCCACGGGGTGCGGGCCAATTTCATACTCTTATTAATGTGAATATTAACATGTCAATGTGAATATTCACATTGTCAATGGGCCGGGCCCACCCCGAGCCGTGGGCGGGTTTCGGGTAGCCACGGGGCGCGGGCTAATTTTACACTCCTATCAATGTGAATGTTAACATGTCAATGTGAATATTCACGTTGTTAACGGGCCGGGCCCGTCCCGGGCCGCAAGCGGGCTTTTGGCCGCCCACGGAACGCTGGCCAATTTTATACTCTTATCAATGTGAATGTTAACATATCAATGTGAATATTCACATTGTCAACGGGGCGGACCCTTATCAATGTGAATGTTAACATGTCAACGTGAATATTCACATTGTCAACGGCCCGAACCGGGCCCGCCCCAGGCCGCCCATGGGCCGCGGGCGGGTTTCGCGCTACTACGTGACGCGGGCCAATTTTACACTCCTATTAATATGAATGTTAACATGTCAATGTGAATATTCAAATTGTCAAAGGGCCGGGCCCGCCCCGGCTCGCAGATGGGTTTCGGGCCGCCCACGGGCCAATTTTACATTCCTACCAAAGTGAATTTTAAAATATGAATGCTCACATTATAAAATTGCTAATCGTTCAAAAAATATTTATAAGGGTATCAA